CACATGTACACATAGAACGTGTAGAGGATCTACTCCAAAAGACATACTTAGTTGTATTCTTAATTTTCTAGATACTGAAAACATCAGAAAACATCATCTGATAGCAATGTAAATGAAGGGCCAAAGAATACTAGTGAGATCCCAGTAAATCTGGCAACAAAGAAAAAGCAGAATGAAGAGACTAAGAAATCAGATCTAGATGAACAGGTACTCCGTGCTCTAGGGGTTCGGGATTCGGAGAAAGTTATCTAAGATATTTTATATGCCGCCGAAACCAGAGCAGACACCACCACTACAAAATGCATGTTAAGGACAACTGAAATGCAAACACTGAGATCAATTACAGGATACACACGGCTTGATAAAATAAGAAGCGAGGCCATACGAGAAAAATGTCAGATGCAGGATGTAGTAAGATGGGCAAGAAATAGACGGAAACTATGGAACGCCCACGTTGGAAGAATGGCCGACAACAGACTAGCAAAAATCGTAACAGTAACACTACCACCCCGAAAGAGAGGATTAGGCCGACCAAACAAAAGGTGGCGAGATAGTTGGACATCATTATCCCAGGAAAAAAGCCAGTAGAATACAAGCTCAAGCTTAAATTAAGAAGAAGAAGAAGAAGAAGAAGACATAGAGAAAATAATCCGGTTCGACCAGTAGTCAGTTGTATTAAATGTCCCACATACAAATTAGCCAAAAAATTACAGGAATCGTTTAGACTCGCGACAAACACTCTGAAAGTGAAAACATGGACAACTAGTAGAGAAAGGCCCATATACACAAAGTGCAAATATATGTATACATATTCGTGTAGAGGATCTACTCCAAAAGACATACTTAGTTGTATTCTTAATTTTCTAGATACTTAAAACATCAGAAAACATCATCTGATAGCAATGTAAATGAAGGGCCAAAGAATACTAGTGAGATCCCAGTAAATCTGGCAACAGAGAATAAGCAGAATGAAGAGACTGAGAAATCAGATCTAGATAAACAGGTACTCCGTGCTCTAGGGGTTCGGGATTCGGAGAAAGTTATCTAAGATATTTTACATGCACATGATTTCGGGATAATTCTGTGAAAGTTTTCTTTATTGATGATTTGCGTGCTTGAATTCAGTTTATTCGAAATCGTCAGTCTGAACACATCTTTCACAAAGTTTGAAAATTTATATTTCAATATGGCATTGTGGAACCGAGAAGAATCCTTTCTCTTCCCAAGAAAGTCAGATACTAAGTCGGCTACCGAGCATTGCTCGGCACTGATACGAATGATAGAGATTTCCCAATTCCCAAGCGTCCGAAGAAGTTTATAATTCAAGAGTCAACGGATGAAGAAGATGGTAGTACAATTCGTCCAACGCCAAAGCGATGGGATTGGAAACCAGAAATCAACACGCCAACGACTAATGAATACACCGAGAGACCCGGCATCCGTAAAAAATTTTTGGAAGCGATTGGCACGTCAAACATTCTGCTAAAACAAATTAATATTATGTGTGACGACGAGTTTTGGCAGAACATTGTAACCGAAACTAACAGGTATGCAGAACAAACAATTTTTAATAAGAACACAATGAAAAGAATTGGCTGCAATTGGAAGCCTGTTAGTTGCAATGAAATTAAAGTTTATTTATCATTGTGCGTGATACTGGCGCAGGTTCGAAAGCCAAAAATTCAAATGAATTGGAGTAAACGAGCCATCGTGGAGACTCCAATTTTTAAAAAACTATGCCACCCAACAGATTCCTACAAATCACTAGATTTTTTCTTTTTGCGGATAACACCACAAGCGACATGACGGATAAATTGCGTAAAATCAACCCCGTCATTGAGTACCTACTTTAACCAGAAGTTCCAGCAGTTGTATGTAATGGAGGAGAACATTGCAATTGATGAGTCCTTGATGAAATTTAAAGGACGATTCTCATATAGACAATACAATCCATCCAAACGGACAAGGTATGGAATCAAATTTTACAAATTATGTGAGTCTGGCTCTGGTTATTGCTATAAATTTAAAATCTATTCCGGGAAAGAGAAGACAAGTTCATGTTTTGGTGAAATGGTTGTGATGGAGCTAGCTAAACCAATTTTGAATAGGGGTCATACTCTCTATGTGGATAATTGGTATTCGTCCAAGTTATTCCTACATTTAACGGAACATAAAACGCATGTTGTGGGAACCGTTCGAATGAACAGAGCCAATATGCCCACAATTTTTGCTAAAACAAATTTTAAAAAAAAGGCGAATACCGATTAAGAAGTGGCAATGGCATTTTTGCTCTTAAATGGAAAGATAAGCGCGATGTGCACATTTTATCCACGAAGCACACATCGGTTGAAATGGTGCAAGTTAATAAGAACAAGAAGGGTCAAAATTATAAACCGCAATGTGTTCTGGGGATCTTCACCCAACACACATTTCAATATTTCCAAAATCTATAACTTTCTTCATCTGCATTGCATGACATAATTCTTCATCTGAAATTTCCAAAATTCCTAATGTCTTTTATTACCTACCTATCATAAGCCACCCTTAAAAGACCTAATCCCCGAGTCGGACGGTTAGGCCCGCTGTATCTAGCGTGCGGTCAGTAGCAGATGGTCCGGCTCGGATTCCCAAAATCCGATGGTCAACCTTCCCTCTCTTCAATGTGTCACACACTTTCTTTAATTTCTTCTACTAATCAAAACTATCGCTTTCTTCCTACTTCCAAATTTCTTGCCGCCACCCATCAACCTGAAGGGTTGCTGGTGAGCGACAAGGGTGTAGGAAGATGACTCCTCAACAACACTTCTTACTGAAGACTTCTTCACCAGACTTGGTAGTCTCAACATCGTATAATAAACATAAGTCGTGATATTTAACATAGTGTCTTTGTGTTAATAAATACTAATACCATTTCACTACAACCGATAAACTACGATCAATCATAACTCACTCATCGCACCCCACAGTGTTATAGATTATAACAAAGGCATGATTGGTATTTATCAGCAAGATCAAATGTTGGCTTGCTTTCCAATCATGTGCAAGTACGTGAAAGGGTACAGAAAAATGTTCTTTTACATATTTGGCATGGCGCTTTTCAACACGTATATTCTGTTCAATAACATTACCGGAAAAAAAACAGAACTTCACAGAATTACGACTAGACGTTGCGGAAATGCTATTGCAACAAAATCCGATAGACCACGAGATGAAAACACATCCGGCTAGTGGCGAACTTCCATAACGACTGCACGCAAAAGCATGGGCTCATTTCCCGAAACGCATTGATCCGACACCTAATAAAGAACATCCAACCCGACAGTGTAAAATGTGCACAAAAAAGAAAAAAAAACAGCGAAACGACTTGGGAGTGCATGAAATGTAAAATACCTCTGCATGTGCCGGATTGTTTTGAGATTTATCATACAATTCTGGGTTATTAATTTTGTTAAAATAATTTTGAACATGTTCATCTTAGAAATGAAAAATTTATATTTGTATTTTGCATTTAAATTATATAAAATTTATAATAAATTTATACATTTTCTCCAACTTAACCCCCAAATAAGTTATTGTTATTTGGGACACTAATAAGCTTATCCATAAACTAGGTACTACAAAGAGACTACCTTTAGTTATATTAGCAAAAAAGGGCATTATCAACAGGTCGAAATTTCAGACATTAGCTAACATAAATATAAATAATATCAACAAATCCAAGGGCAGCCCAGCCGTTACTTACTTTACCATATTTACCTAGAGAGACAAGATGATGTGTTGCTAAAACTTTAGACGCATATATCATACAGACCTCAAAATTATGATAAAACGAAGAGGATCTGTTTTTAGCTGTAAGAAAACCTTATAAGGTTTCTTCCGAAACGTTAAGCAATTGGCTTAATAAAGCACTGAAAACGGCTGGTATAGCTTCGGGGACGTTTTCAGCGTTTAGCATTAGACATGCATCCATCACAGCTGCGAGAGCAAGAGGAATAGACGTAGAAAACATAAAAAGAACAGCAGGTTGGTCAGAAAACTCACAAATGTTTGCGAGGTTTTATAATCGCACAATTGTCACATATAATAAGGAGTATGTGAAAGCTATCCTCACAAGGAAGAAAAAGTAGAATAACTTATTTATATAATAACCGTGTTTCTTAAGTAAGAGTAAGCAAAATAATACAGAAGATCTAAAGAAGCTAGATCTTAGTACTCTTTTATCTTTATTTTTTGTTTTTTCTCATCTCAAAACAGCTGCTAATGTAATCATCTCGAGCGACATTCTTATATAATAACGATCGAACTTCACGTACAGGCAAGTTCGTTTGATCGTTCTATTTTAATAATTGACGGCTTTTTTGTACGTAGGGGAGAGTCAGCGGGTAATAATCTTTCGATTAAGAAACCAGAAGCGACCAGCATAAATCGAATCACAGCTTTTAATAAAACTGAAATAATCATGTTCTTTGAGCTACTTGGCCAGCTAATGGAAAAGTATAAATTTGCCCCAAGGAATAATTGTAACAGGACAGGAATTTCCACAGTTCAAGCTCCTGGAAAAATTGTGGCTATCAAAGGACAAAAGAGATTGGATCAATAACCAGTTGGGAGCGAGGAAAGAACATCATTTTGTTGTGAGCGCGGCAGGTGGATACATTCCACCGATGTTCATTTTCCTTGGGAATAGATTAACTCCTCTGCTAGAGAAGTATGGTCCAGCCGGAGCGTTATACAAATGCTCTGACAACGGTTGGATCAATGAGAATCTTTTCCTTGAATGGTTGGTGCATTTAAAACAGCATGCTAAGCTATCTGCACATACACCTATCCTTCTAATACTAGACAACCATACCAGTCATATATCTCTCACCATCTACGAATATTGTACGTCCAATCATATACACATGTTGTCGCACACAGAATGCAACTTTTGGACGTTTCGTTCATTTTCGTTCATTTGGTTTTGACTTTCAACGCCATCTATGAGGAGCCTGAGAGAACTTCATGGCACATGAGTCTAACCTCTCAGTGAAGTATTTATTATGATTAATTGTTATTGTGCAATTTTAGTGTTCAGTGGTGTTCAGTAAAATTTTGAGAAAAAAATGAATAAACCTGTAAATTTGAGGAATCAATTGATCCTTTCAGGAGAACCTGCTGAAACAATCAATGGTAATAAATTACCACCGAACAAACAAGTGTTAAAATTGTTGTTTCATCAAACAAGAGAAAAAAATAAAACACTTTCAGCAAGTTATCAGTTTGTTGCAAAAGAAGTTATCAAAATCTGGAATAACGCCGTAATTCAAGTTCAAGCGACATCAAGAGGTGTGAAAAAAGTAGAAAAACTGTATAATAATTATAGAAGTGTACAGAAAAATCCAAATCCAAAGACAGAAGGAGAATTTTCTTCGTATCTAGAAAAAATTATTTGACATTGCACACGGAAATATTCTAGAGATAGCTGATACTGAAGCGTTAGAATTTTTATCAGATCAAAGGACAGACAGAAAATATCATTTACGTATTTGCCAAGAGAATGACAATGAATGTCAGTCATTAGGTAAGTAAAAGTTGAATGAGAATGCTGATTTAGACGCAGTTTAAATAGTAGAGGTTAAAATATTTAATCCATTGCAGAAAATCTGACTCAAATGGAAGATAAAATTGTATCTGAAAATGACGATCATACTGATTTGATAACCAACGATGAACATCGTTCGGTTTCAGGTAAATAATAAAAAACTTTATTGCTTGGACCTGAAAATATCGTTTATATTAGAATAAATTCAAGATAATCATTTTATTATTTTCTCTCCAGATTTGACTTTACCTTCAAGCTCTAAAACTACTAGTAATGAGCCTTTAAGTGGAGAGCAAACATTAAGCGATGAGACAACTACATCTACATCTCACCAAAGCTCACACTCAATGTTTGAGGTTGGAGGTCGAGATTACGATCCTAAAAATGTGACAGGAACTATTAATATTTTGACTGAAGACGTAATTGCTGCCTTAGATAGCTGCAACATCTCTTACAGGAATTCTGTTCGGTTAATATCAGCTATATCAACAGCCCTAGGAGTTAACACGAATACTTTAATTTTGAATGGGAATATACTCAAAAACAAGGCTTAACTTGCATCGTATCTGTCCCAGGTGACGCCCAAGATCTATCCCAATTTTGGGTAATGGAAGAAATCCCAGGAGGAAAATCCGGAGGTACGTTGTCCAGCCACCACTCATCAAGCGCCCACCGCAACTTGGAGAATCAAGGGATAGAGCCATAGCAAGGTTCATTCAACAAGAAGCCAAACTATAAAAAGCATCCAGCCCTGAAAAAAGAATATAGCAAGGTGATCCAAGAATACATTGACCTTGGCCATATGAGAGCTGTCAGTTGCATGGAGAGCAAATAAGCTAGCTACTATATTCCACATCACGTCGTTATCAAGGGTGAAAGCATGATAACAAAAACACGGGTTGTATTCGATGCATCACGCAAAACGACATCAAAGAAGTCGCAAACCAAAACTACCAGTTTACTGGTACGCTGATGTCTACATGAAGTGGATTTTACGGCGGACATCGAGAAAATGAAACGACAAATTCGCATGGATGAAGAAAATCAGCAGTATCAAATAATTGTATGGCGATTCCATCCAAAAGAGCAATTTCAAGACTATTAATTAAAAACAGTAACGTTTGGGACAAAAGCCGCTCCATTTTTGGCAATCTGTACGTTACATCAATTAGTCATAAACTAAGCAAAGAGCCCAGAAGTCTCAAAAACCTTGATGAGAGACGAATGAGTGGATGATATCATTTCGGGTGCAAAAATTGTCAAAACCGCATTGAATCTACAAAATGAGTTGATTGAGACGTTGAAATACGAGAGAGAGATTTTGCTTTTAAGGAATCATAAACCAGAAAGGAATCATCACAAAGCGGATAGTCTTATCAGATATCTCCAAGATATACGATCCACTCGGATGGTTAGCGCCGATAATCATCAAAACAAAAATATTCATTCAACATTTGTGGAGGATCCAGGTCGAATGGAATGAAGTCTTGACAATACAAGATACAAATGATTGGATTTTTAAAGCACAGTTGCCAGCTATCGAGACAGTAAGAATACCGAGATGGATATCATATTTAATGACGCCTCAAAAAAATAACTGTATGCGAAAGTTCAAAGGTATAAAACAAGATTACTCTTCATCGTCTGATTTTTTCACTGAAATTAATAATCTGAATATTTCACCACAAGGAAATGAAACGAACATTTAGACGTTGTAGGATATAATCGCAAGTAAGTGAGCAATTAGAGAATAATGAACAAGACAAAATCACGTTTGAAAATCACGTTTGAAAATTACGTGGTTCAACATTTAACTACCGTGATACTCACTGCAGCAATATTTTCCGAACATGGACAGTCGTGAATCCTACTCCTGGACTTTAAAACAATTTTCTACTTGCGTCGATATTTTCAAGGACGAAGATGTGTCAGCGAAAGTAGAGTTTCTCGGACTACGGGAGAATAACTCAATTAAAGTTAATTTTCAAAATGATAAAGTCAGTACATTTTGACGAAAAGCAGCTGCAGCATACCCTATAATAGCTAACAGAGCTTTGAAATTGTTGATTCCATTTGCTACAACTTACAGATGTGAAACTGGTTTCTCAACTCTTGTTACATTAAAAACAAAAACCGTCTGAATGTTGAGCATGACATAAGATGCGCGTTGAGTGAAACCGAACCTAACATTGTCAAACTTGCGAATGCAAAGCAATTTCAACCTTCACACTAGTTAACTCCGAGATTTATATATTACTTTACTAGTTACGTAAACGTGCAATTTCTTACATAATACACATATTTTCGTTAGAATTTATGTGGTTTTAATTATTTTAAAATAAGCTAGGGGTAAACTCAAAGCCCATACTTGTTTACAAGGGTATTGACATTAAAAAGGTTAGGAACCACTGATCTAGGAGGTAGAATGCTTACAAAGTGTATTTAAGTTGAGTTTTGATATGATTTACATAGTATCTATTTTGGAAAGATGTCAATATTGTTAAAAATATACAAATAATAAATGCTTAGAGGTATTATTGTCGTCTTTTTTGGTAGTTACTACTTGCCCCGGTAGACGTTACAACTTGTCTCAAGTACGTACGTACTCGTAAATTGCAATACCGCACTTCTTCTAGAAAATACTTAATTATAAAATAATAACCAATAGCTATAGCATTATTTTTACTTGATTTGGTAGAGGAAGAGTTACAGCATCCATTCATTTTTTAATAACAATTTAACTCATTGCAGTCGTATGCAAAGAATACAGGATTGCCACTTGCTCAAGAAGTATTGAAGCTAAATATTAATTTGACAGGCACAACCCGGAGCAACAGAAAATGTTTACCTAAATATATAGGAAAATTACGTTTTTCTCAGTCCGCTTCTTTTTAATACCGTAATGGACCAAATAGTCGATGAAATCACATGAAATCACAGAATGGGTACGCATAAGATCAACTGTATATGCTACGCGGATGACGCCACTTTAATAGCGAGCTCGGAAGATGAACTTCAAAAGCTTGTGTACCGATTCGAACAAAAGTCAAAACAA